ATTAGAATCAATTTTATCAAAATAAAAATTATTAGAAAAATAACTCATTAATTTATCAAAATCAAAAAATGTTTTTTTACTAAAACATATATATTTGTCTTTTATATTGTTATTTATTGTTTCAGTAATATTATTGAATAGATAAATTATTAAGTTCATATAAATCACCAAAGTCTGAAGTATCTTCACATATTAAATATTTGTATGAATTGATATATTTTTTATTCTCTCGTCTTATCTCTTCTTTGAAAATTTTGACTAAAAAATTTTTTTGTAAATTATCGTGACGTAGATATAAAAAACCAAGTGTCATTAGAACATTTTTCAAAATATTTAATTAAACAATATACTCTAGTGAAGTAATGAATACTAAAGATCTAAAGACAGAATCATAAAGAAATATGTTTTTGTTTTATGAAACGTAATTATATTTTTCAAATCAATTAATTGTTGTTTCTGTTTTTCACAAGAAATAGTTTCGATATTAAAATTTTCAATAAGAATTTCATTAATAATAATATTATTTAAAATCTCAAATTACATTTTGTAAAGTAAATATATAGTTTTCATATTTTATATTATGCAACAAAAATATATATGCAACTTGTAGTAAAATATTTTTATAATATTTAAAAAAATATTTGTATTGCTGAGTTTATTAAGAATGAAAACAAAATTAGTAAAATTTTAGATAAAAGCAATATTTTATATAAAAATGCATTCTGCAATTAATTATTTTAAAGGAAGTTTTGGAGTAATTGTTTATGATAGCAAAAAACTTAACAATCCATTAACCAAATATGCAACAAATTTTTATTGAAATGTATGTCCCCAAATTAAAATCGTAACTGAATTAAAAATTTTTCAATATATTAAAAAAATGATTGATTAATATTTTTTATATGGTATATTTATTTCTTTATTTCAATAATTAAAACATTACATTAAAAAAAAATTTGAAAATTATAAGGAATAAAAAATTTTAACAAGAGAAAATAATTTTTTTTTTAGGGAACAGATTTTTTAAGTACATGATCTGGTTTAATTGTGTGTAAATTAATGTGTAATAAATACGATTTTTTGGTATATTCTTTTTTTTTGAATATCTATAAATCGAGAAAAAATCGATCTTTATGGGTATACCGCCCAATCTGAAAAGTTGTTTCTATTTTTTGTTTTTAACATCTGGATAAAACTTCAGAAACAAACTAGAATTAATCAAAGATATTTGATGTATCGTCAATTATATTCATTCTTTCGAATAAATTTAATCTCAACAATCTTATGATCTTTGATTAGTAATTTTTATCATGAAACCACCAAAAACAGATTGTGTAATTATTTACTATATTGTCATGACAATATGAAGCATGTAGACGAAAATAATAATGGATTTAAAAAAACCTAATATTTTCAAAACTTCTACTAGCTAGTTTTTCATGAGGTATCTAGCCCTTGAATCATCTATACCTAAAGATACAGAATCTGCAATTTCTTTTTTTTTTTGACAAATGTCAAGAAGAGAAGTAATATGTCAATTCATGAAGAAATGCCAAATATCCAACCATTTCAGCTCATTATTAACCTAATCAGAGATTTTTTTAGTTACCCAGAACCCTGAAAGAAATAATCACCCAAGTTTAGTTAACTTGCCTCTTCTTACATAAATAGATCAATGAACAAGAAAAAGAAATTTCATCAAAATTTACGAACAAAAAAAACTGAAATGAGCAATGTAATAAAATCGAATTTGGGTTCAAACTGATTTACAAATATGTAAGATAGACTTACAACTCCACATTTTATCCTGAAGAAAGTTCTAACCAGAACAAGTTGGTACGATGAAATACTTCTTCAAATGCAAGGTGTGTTATCTATACCATCGAAATTCTTGACCCAGAGTATAAGTGTCAAAACCACATCCCAGACACTTGTCTTTGTATGGTACCCAAAAGATCGTGCAACTGATATACACTTTTGATGAGTTTTACAGATTTAACCAGATAAAATTTTTTATCTTCATTATACCAATACTCAAATAAAAATTTAATTTTTATCTCATTATACCAATACTCCAATAAAAATTTTTATCTGATCTAACTTTCATTATACTGTCAGTAGTGATACTCAAAAGTGTAAACTACTGTTTCATAATAGCTTGATGTAATGTGCTTTCATGTTAATAAACAAAATGCAATCAAAGCATTGTTAGTAAAAAATAAAAAAAGAAAACCGACATCCAAACAACATCAGTCATTGATTCTTTATCTGAGGAAAAAGAATCATCTCCAATTAAAAAATATAAAAACAAAAATGATGCTTTTTAGTAAAAAGTATTCAGTTAGTAAAGAAAAAAGGTGTTTTGTAAAAATTTATCAACTAACTAAAAAGAAAACAAAAATTTAAGGAAAGATGTTAAAAAGAACACTATACTACCCAACATCAAGAAATAATGGCACAGTTAGCACAGTAAAAAAGAAAGTAAATAAACAAAAACAAAAAATACCGAAAAGTGATGATGAAACTTCTTTTTTTGACAAAAAACAATACTAACAATATAAAAGACAAATATATATGTTTTAGTAAAAAACATTTTTTGATTTTGATAAATTAATGAGTTATTTTTCTAATAATTTTTATTTTGATAAAATTGATTCTAAT